AGAAAAGGAGGAGGGGGAGGAAGAAAGGGCAAGACAATTGTCGTTTTGAAGACCATGTAAATATGACAGGATGCACCTAGGACTTTTTTATTTTTCCCCAAGAGCAGAGTCAACCTGAGTAGCCTTGGGCAAGCTGCTCCGTCTCAGTGCACGCCAGAAAAGGAGGAAAGAAAACCACCTTCTCCCTCTAGAAAACCCTGGAAAAGGTCACCGTAAGTCAGAACTGACTTGATGACCTGCTGTTTTTGTTGTTTAAACGTCAGTCGCAGACCAGGTGCTATGATCCAGGTCAGGCTGTAGCGGGGGGGGGGAGTATTTCTTAAAATACCTCCCTTCCCTCTAAGTACATGCACTGTCTCCCCCAAAAAACCACCCATCGTGCAGCTGTATAGCTGTCATCACCCCCTTTCCTCCAGTGAGCTCAGCACAGATCTACCCATTCCCCTTCCAGCTATATCTCTACGACAAGCTTGCAAGGTAGGCCACACTGAGAGTGGGCCAAGGTCACCCAGTAAACTGAGTGGTCAAGTGGGTATTGGAACCTGAGCCTCAAACATCCGAATCCAACTCTCTGGCCACCATGCTCACCATCTTTCATAGGCAAGGGGGATTGTATTCCTTGACTGCTCATTTATTTTCTTCCTGCCCCCCACCTTCCTCATGAAAAAGGGAACCTAGGCGTCTAGGAAGACGTTAGGTGAAGAAAAGGTGAAGTCCCGTATGCTGGGATCATCAGCCCCTCATTCTGCAGCCATTTTATTTCCCCCTTAAGTCAAAGTGGGGAATCCCAAGCATGGAATTCAAACTCGTTGACTTTCAGCTCTAAGGACTTGGAGGAAGTCCCCTTCCCATCCTGTTCTCTCCCTGCCGTAGAGAGAACATTAAGCCTACGTCTCTGCGATCTCTGACTCAGGTCTTGTGGGAGCAGTTTTCTGGTTCGGAAGGTTAGAGTTTTGCAGGGGGGACGGGGGACTTCATGTTCACACAGATCCCTTCATTTCATCCATAACTCCAGCGATGCTCCAACGCTCTGGGGTCACGTATGCTTCTTTCCGGAGTGACCACATTGATCCTCCTTGGTAGCCTGCGTGTCATCGCCTTGCGTGAGCAGATGTCAGCTTGGCCCGGCGAGCCCCCTTCTCCGCAAGGAGGGCTTTAAACGTGGAGACGGCGTCTCACTCGGCGGCTGTCAAGGAGGAAGGAGAGTCTCTCCACCTTCACAACAATGAAAGCTTGCTCAGACTTGCCCAAGGAACTCCGTCTCACCGTCAAGGAAGAAGGGGAAACAAAGGAAGGTGGCATGCCTGGGTCTGGCCCAGCTGAGTGGCGAAGGCTTTCCTAGGCTGTTTAATATGGAAACGGAGAAGTTCATATTTGCATTCTGCCTCAAGTGGAAGGAAAGAAGGGAGAAGCAAAAGAGCTACTCTGAAGTGCTGCCCTAGCTTGTAAATGGTCTACCTGCTTTCAGCAATTAAATATATGCATTTAAAGTAGAGACGACTTAGAAATGGTAGCATATTCATCTTCCATGCGTGGAAGATGGAACAAACCTGTTTTCTGCAGCTCCAGAGGGAGCCAGTGGCTTCAAATGACAAGAAAACAGATTTTGACTAGATGTTATGAAGAATTTCCTGGTGGCAGGAGCTGGACAGCAATGGAGCAGGCTTTCTCGGAAGACACTGGTTGTGTCTTCCTTGGAGGTTTTTAACAGAGATTGAATGGTCATCCCTTAGTGGTGCATTGGCTATGGGTTTCCTGGCAGAGGATGGTGTTGGATCCGATGCCCTAGGGCAGTGGTCTCCAACCTTGGGCCTCCAGATGTTCTTGGACTTCAACTCCCAGAAATCCTGGTCAGCCAAGGTGGTTGTGAAGGCTTCTGGGAGTGGTAGTCCAAGAACATCTGGAGGCCTAAGGTTGGGGACCACTGCCCTAGGGGGTCTCTTCCAGATCTAGACTCTTACTGTTCTATGACTTCTCTGTGAGGAGGAGAATATTAAAAAAAGAAAGCCACTGCAGATTTAAGTGGCATGACTCAGATAGACCTTTACTGCTTTGATCTGCTGAAGACATGGTCTCTAAGCCTGTCAACAGAACAGGAATCTAGACAGCTCCTGATTACGTGGGAGAGGGGGGAAACCTATTTGTGTTTCTTCCCTGCAAAGCGTGCCAGGCATGCCACCAAAATTCCTTGCCGTCTGTGCACAGCTGCAGGGTTCACATAATGTCTACATGCTGTCAGTTTTCTTGGTGGAATCCATTAATTGGAGCTAGCGAGTTGCGATCTATTACAGTCAGGAGTTGGTAACTCACTGCTTTCCCTCCACCAGAGGTTCTGGCCTGTCTCTGAGACCTCAGTCGGAGGGAAGATGCTGCTGGTCATCGGGATCAGAAATGCAAGTGGAATTTGGGTTTGGCTGCTCGCTCTCAGATTTGGCAGTTCTGCTGGAGACTTAAGTTCAGATCTCATTCTGACAGTCGGTTGTTGAATGAAATTGAAAAGCCAGAAGGACGCCTGCATTTTTTTAAAGTCATCTGGAGTCTCTCCAGCCTTCATCAGCAGAGAGGCAGGCAGGGGACCAAAGGAAGTGGCAGGCGTGTTCTGAATCTCCTGGCTAACGCAGCGTGAGCCTCTTCCTTTTGAAAGGAGTATATATTAAAAAACATAAAGCCCTGAATAATTTACCAATTTCCAGTGTTAAAAGGAAGATTGATGATGTTTCTCTTCTCCCCAAGGGAAGCTAATCTTATCTCATGCAAGAAAATAGTTCTGTTAGAGGTTTTTCTCTCTGGGGATGCCAGGACTCGGCGGTGTAACTGCTACAAAATGGGAGCCCCACCTTATCCCAGGGGGTGGTCTGAGAGCCAGTTCTAAGTTTACCACCCACAAGATGGACAAAACGCCAAGGAGAAGCTCTTGACAGGGAGACTTGACTTGGTGAGCATGGACGCCCCTTGTATCAAAGCCACTGTGTGGTTATCCAGCAAAAGATCTCTCTCTTTCCAGCCAACCAGCAGGAGTGAGTGGGTCAAAAGGGGGCACCTCCTCGGTAGAGCCGACAGCACAGGACCTTGGAGAGCTCCAACTCCTCCTAACAAGTTCTGGAGCACAGTTGAGGCCAGTGATGACTCTTGGCCAAGATTTCTCCTCCTGGCGCCACCCCTTTCTCGCAGAATGGGAAAAAGCAACAGGCCTTGGGTTTGATGCCTAGCACTCCTTCCTCTCACCAGGAGCTTATGCTGGCATTGATAATCCCAGTGCTGGTTATTCTGGAGCTTCTGGAAGAGGAGGCGCTGTCCCAGGGCTTAGGGCAGGTTTGATCCGCGCTCAGAGCCACAGAGGTTTCATGCTCAGAGGTCTCCTCCAGTGATGCTTTTGTCCCACGTCCCCTCTGCTACCCATATAGGCTCCTCAGTGTTTTGCTCTGTTTCTTAACCCCTGGCTGAGGTCCTAGATCTTGAAAAATATTCTCCATCCCAAGACCCTGGAGAGCTGAGGCCTTCCAGAGCACAAAGCATCGGACTAGATAGACCAGCGGTCTGGTTCTGCTTAAATGACAGGTCTGGATCCTGGTTAGCAGAGAGTAGAATCCAGGAACCATGAGCCGGGAGAGAAGATCAGACTAGATCCAAGGGTAAGCCAGAAGGTAGAATAGGTTGGGTACACACGACAGGTTGTGGATGTTACTCACAACCTCCAGGTCTCCAGCTATATTGGAGCCCAGTTTTGTAACCCCTTATTTGCCTCAGGGCAGTTGTGGAGCTCCTGTGATTGGGAAACCTTGTAAAGCTGGGTTCCCATTTCCCAGAGGCCCCGTAGCCTCATTCAGACAAGCCCAGTGACGAGACCCTTTGCATGAAGGCACAAAGGTGCTACTTTCCAGGGCCAGGGCCTGAATGGGGCTTCAGTGACTGAGGAATCCCCCCCTGATCGCCCCCCCATTTCCTGTGCCCCAGCAAGGAAAGTGGAAACGCACGTCTTAGATAAGAGGAGAGCTCGCCCCGTTGGATTGGTGCCTGGACCTGTTCGGTCTCGTGAGCTGCATCCTCCATGGAGCCCAGGCCGCATTTTGTTTTTATTTATTTTTGCTAATGCTGTTTGCTTCCGAGGCACGCCTTAAAACAGTGACTTGGTGTCGATGCTGCTGAGCTATTTAGAAAGCTGATGGAAGTGGTGGAGGTAATGATCAGATCTTCAGAAAGAAAGAAAGAAAAGAAAAGAAATGAAAACAAACAATACCCCCAAAGAATTGGGAAGCTGGGGAGGAGGGTGATGGCGGGAGGAGTTAAGGCTGTCAGTCTTGCATGGGATGGTGGACAAAACTGATGATCTATTTCAGTCCCACTGAGGCTGGTTTTATTGATAGATTACCTTCTGTGGTGTTCTTTTCTTCTTCTTCTTCTTCTTCCCCCTCCCAGCATGTGTTAACTCGACAGCTCCTTTCAAGTTTGTTTTCAAAATGTTCTCAACACTCTTCCCGCCGCTCAGCAATTCATTATTCATCTGAAGCTCGCAAAGGGGTGTGGGGGGGGGAGGTAGGGGGCCAGTATCGTTCAGAGAATTTGGAAATGCAGAATCTTAATAATGGCCCAATTAAATTGTGTGTTGAACACCTGCCCAGCAGTAGATAACGTTACCTTGATTACAATAAGATATGCTGGAAGAGTCTCGGCTGCTCAGAGTCTGGAACACGCGACCGGCGTCCCGGGAGAATATTGCCAGTCATGAAATTAACCGATTCGTTTCCATCCCTTGCACCTCTTTTCTGTCTCCCTCGCAGGCCACCAGGTCCTCCGGCGGTGGGAAGATGCAGCTCCTGGAAACGGCGTTTTCGCAGACTGTCCGGGAACTGATCGACTTGCACCTTCTCCAGCAGGACAGCGTGCCGGCCTTCCTCAGTGCCGTCACTCTCGACCTCTTCAGCCGCCAGACCATCACCTAGCCTTGTCTGGGAGAGAAAACAAAACAGCAGCCTTTAGTGTTTGTGAGGAGCCCACGCGGCATCTCCCAGTTCGAAATCCCCGTCATAGAGCAAGGGAGGGAGGGGGTGGGTGACGTGTGGAGGATGATCTGCAAGGCCTGTTGTTTCCCCCCAATGGTGGCTGCTCTCCCCAAGGAGATACTCCACCATCTTTTCCTACAGTAAAAGATGGTGGAGTGTCTCCTTGGGGAGAGCAGCCACCAGTTGACCCTTCCCATTCTGAGAGACCAGTTAGCCTGGCCTGGTCATCACTCTAAAGATTCGCTCATCCCAGCCCTATTTCCTTCCATGGGAAAGACAAACGGGAATAAGTGGAGGGGGTTGTTGTTTTATTTGATTGGATTGTATTGCAAGCTGCCCTCCTGGCCTTTGGGATGGAGTAGAGTAAAAATATAAGTAAACATGTCTGATGTCATCCCCCAGACTTTCTGTATCAAAGCCTTTCTTTCGTTGCCTCCGTTTTCTGCTTCTCTGATGCCATATTTGTAGTTTCTCCTCTCTGCCCCTTGGGTCCCTCTGATTCTGCCCGCCGTCCAAGGAACAGGTGGTTTTGCATTGACTGCTGGGCAGCTGGCTTATGACGAGGAACTCAGATTTTCACGTATACCCTGTGGAGGCTGAGGAGCCCCTCGCCTGTTTTGTTAATTACTCTTCCTTGAATTTGGGAGACGTGAGGGTGGGATTTGTTTTTAAGCTCCAAAACAGTATACTATGTTAGGAAATAGTTCTAGGGAATTTTGTAAATAAAGTGTCACTTTGCATTAGCGTTGTGTGTGCCTTTGCGTGCCTCCGTTTCCAGTGTACAGGCGGTTTTCATCTTCCTCAGTGTTGCTGCTTTCGGTACAGTCATGGATGATGGAGGGTGGTCCTCGTCCAGAGATTTCCACACAGAAAGAAGGCTGCTGCTTTGGATGATGCGCCGCAAACCCATTTCTGGAGGCATCTTTTTTCAGGCCAGAAAGGAAGCTGGATTGTTCTGTTCCGTTTCCAGCATCTCCCTGATTGTCTCATTCAGAGCAAAACAGAACATTGCCACTTATAATGGCATCTGAAGTGATCAATTAGGAGTGATCGATTAGGAATGATCGATTAGGAGTGATCGATTAACTGAAGGATGCAAGTCTTTGCTTGTGTCATTCTCGAGCGGAAAAACAAGAAACTGAGTTTCTCCTTCGCTTCACCCGGAAGAGAGTGAAATATTTCTTCTTGGCCTCGGTGAGAGCTTGTGTGTTTGCGAGAACCGTTTTGGCACAGATAGCACCAGTCGAAAGAAACAGCAAGAGCTGGTATTTTGCTTCATGGACTTCAAAGAAGCAGAAGCATCCAGTGGGTTGAGTCTGTTTTGAACAAGCACCCGGACCTTCTCTGGTTGCTTGTTCATGTGCACTGTGCTCCTCAAAGGAAAAGAACACTAGAGTTGTGTGGAGAAGTTGGTTTGAAATAAAGAGAGCAACCGCCTCTTGCTTTGCTCCTGCATGAGAAGCGAGGAATCTTGTAGGGCTTGAGAAATGTCTAATCAAGGTGACTAAATTAATAACAAGAATGGGAGATTTAGCAAGTCGTCATCCCATCTATAATCTAAAGCTTTTTCTATGCCTTCTCCTTGCTTAAAAAAAAAAAACAAGACCAAAAAATTGGAAGTGCTTGGCAGCAGCACATGGTGCAGTAAAAATCAATAACTGAGTGAACAACAGTAAAAAGCAATGCTAAAAACAATTGCATCAGAAATAGAAAAACTGTCAGAGGATCGTTGTGTCTATTCTCGGGGCCAGGGGCGCACGGTGTGTGAGCATGAAATTTGGGCTTCAGCTGGAAGCCTGACTGCCTTGGTAGTCAATGTTTAGCAAGCAGTTCTGCTCTTAGGCAGAAGCCGAAGCTGCCCCACATCAGACCAAACAAAATACTTCACATTGGCCACCATCGACAAGGCCGCTCACCGTGCGCCCTGCGAAGAGGCCCTGCGATAGAAGAAATATCATCAGTGGACGGCTATACCAGGAGGGTATAGCTCCAGAGAGCTGGATCTGATTAGATTCTGCCCTGTGTGGAAGGGCTGGGGAATGGTGACTTTAATTCACAGCATCTCCAGCAGACGGGTTGGAAACACCCGGTGCAAACGACAAACCGTGCTCCGCCCCTGCAGTGGGATCCTTATTCTACCTGTAGAGGCCCCATGGCCATTGGGTTTGGCCACTGGAAGCCTGCCTGCCCTGTTACCCCATAGGCTGCTGCTCTGGAAATAGCAAAGATCTCAGGAGAGGAGATAAAGAGTGGCCCTCCTCGACGCTTCTGGCTTTCCAGGTGGCACCCAACCCCGTAGTGAGCGGTGGAATCAGCTGCAGCTCCATGGGGCCAAAAGAAGCCTTTATTCGGCTGATATCTTAGCTCCCTTTCAAGAACGGAATTCAAGGCGGGTCACAGCAAGCATTCCAAACAACATCCCAAACAGGTACAGCTTAAAGGAAAGTGATAAATGCAGGTTTAGAAATAAACAAGCAAAGCATTATTAACACATCCCAACATGAAAGGGCTGCTTAGTTAAGAAGTGATTTCCACATGCACACGAAAGGAAGCAAAGAATTAAAGGAAAGCGGCCATCAAAAAACCATGACACTGAGGCTGTCCTACTTTGGGCACCTCATGAGAAGGCAGGATTTTCCAGAAAAGACCATCAAGCTGTGGAAAGGTTAGGGTCAGCAGGAAAAGAGGAAGTCCCAATACAAGACGGATTGATTCCCACAGGGTTGGGTCTACAAGAGCTGAGCAGAGACGGATTGATTCCCACAGGCTTGGGTCTACAAGAGCTGAGCAGGACGGCTGAGGGCTGGGCATTTTGGAGATTGCCCTAAGGCAGAGGACACTTGATGGCACACAACAACAACAACAACAACAACAACCACAATTTGATGATTTATAGGGTCCCTTCCAGCTCTGCCATTACAAGGGTGTTGTTATTATACTGTATTGTTTTATTATTATTATTATTATTGTTGTTGTTGTTGTTGTTGTTGTTGTTATTATTACAACAACAACAGAACAGCACAGCTGGAAGGGATGCCATGGATCGTCAAGCCCAGCCCCTGTCAGGGAGGCATAGTGGGGAATCGAACTCTCAACATCTGGCTTCGCAGCCAGTCTTTTAAAATCCCTGTGTCAAGTGGCCAGTCAGTGGTCAAAAGCTGGCCTTAAGAGATGGACCTCTGCCTGCTGGCAGAAGGACAAAGCTCGTTGCTTTTAGTTGTGTGTTCCGCCACCTCGAAGCATCCGCTGAGAAGACCCTCTCTGATCTCCCTACCGAACCTGCCTCTTGAGTAGGAGGGGACCACGGAAAAGGTGTCCCTCACAAAGAACTCAGAGCCTCGGCAGCTAGGCACGCCAGAAGGCAAGCCCTAGCCTGGAGCCCGAAGAACGAACATTTGCTGCCGAGTAAAAAAGGCTGGGGAAAAAGTGTATTGACTGCCAAGTCAATAATGACCCCCTGCTTTTTATGGATGAATCTGCTTCCAACCCGTTTTGCTTCTGCCACAGAGTTCCTCCCCCCCTCAATGAAACAGGGCCCAGGCTGTGCTTCTGTTGGATGGAAAGGCAGAGCTGATCTCCCCTCCTCTGCTCAAAAAGTAGCATCGAACACAGTCGCCGGAGAAGGGCCCCTGCCGTAGCCCACCTCTTAACGCTTGGCTCTGGGGAAGCTGTTGCGGGAATTCATTTCCAGCAATAAGAGAAGATTGGGGGGTGAAGAGCGATCGTCTGGCATCCGGTGCCCTGGGAGGACTTCCTGATTCGTATGCACAACGAGGCACCTTCACCAGTCATGGAGAAAATGAATTATGACGTCAGGCGCTCGTGGCTTCTCAGTCGACACAATGGCAGAGCCACAGCTGCCTCTGGAAAGAAAAAATTGCTCCACAGGCTTCTTACAGGACAAATGAAAGTAATTAATAAATTTACAATAAGCCCACTATCTTGGCTAAACAGAGGTGGAAGCGCAAGCTATGCTTGAAATTGACAAAGAGCCTGCCACTGCCATGGGTGTGGATATCCCGGAGTTCGAAGGATGATGATTTGTGTAAAAGTCATCTAGGGTGAAAAGTTTTCAGATTGAAGCCAGCTAGGGCCAGGAAGGCTCGCTATGTGGCCCTTAGTTCTGGACAGACGGACAAAGGATGTGTCTGTTTCCGCATTCGTTTTATTTATATCCTGCTTTTTCACAGAACTGTGCCCAAAGCAGCTCACTACGCCTCACATGACAACAATGACGCCATCCGACGGCCTTAAAAACCTTTAAGAGGAACCAGGATGCCGATACAGAGGAAAAGAGAGAAGAAAGAAAGAGAGAGAGAGAGAGAGAGAGAGCGGGAAAAGGATGGAGAGCATTGATGGGGGTGGCGCAGGGAGATACAAGGACCGGCCTGACCCACTGACATCCCGAACAGGATGCCTCCACGCGGCCTCACTTTGTTGCAAGTCCCTCTTTCTCCATCTTGCAGATCCATCTTGGCTAAGCGTCATCCGCACTTCAGCTGAAAGCTTAACATGTTAGAGAAAGGGAAAGAGAGAGAGGAAGGTTGCCGTTCTTCCCACTTATTGCCCAGGTCACATTTATCCAATTTGGGGCAAATTGAGCTGACCTCTCCCCATGACAGCGCCTCTCAGCAAGACTGTGGCGAAAAAGGAAAAGTAAGCGGATCGTTAGGACTATCGTATCATGCATGGGATGCCGGCATCAGCCCTGAGAGGTTTCAAACATACTGGTTGAGGGAAAAATCTCTCTCTGTGTGTGTCTCTCTCTCTCTCTCTGTCTCCTCATGCACGTGGCTCTGGGCATTTGTAAGATGGTTATTGGGTCTCTAAAGGGCTCTACATGAAGGGGGTGGAAAGAACCCAGAAAGCAGTAGTTTGATCATCAGATGACAGGAGAAGAGAGGAGAGCTTATTTTCTATCCTCTCTTGCAGATATCTTTTAGGCCTAGAGGGAAGAGGGGTCAGAAAGGGAGGGATCAGATTACAGGAAGCCTTTAATTCCAGTTTGTTCGGTACTTTCATCTCTTCTTGGGACCAAGGCAAATTGTGACTCAAACTCAGCTGCAGTTCTTTCTCTGTGGTTTGGAAGAAGCTGTTTCTTTCAGCTGATCTGCTGCCGGGACGCAGGTAAGAATAGGGATGTTGATCTTCACATGTCTTCTGCCTACACAGAACAAAACCTACAACATTCTTCTCACTATTGGGAATGGAAAGGAATTTCCTGGTGCTCTCAGTAGCATTATTGGTGAGAATTCTTTGTGCACAATGTCCAGGTTCTGGTGCACAGTTGTAAAAATTCTAGGATGATTCTTTGCCAAGGTATTTGAAGCACTGAATGGGTTGCTCATGTCTTTCTGAATCAGGTAGTCTTTGGTACTTGACGTGTGTTTGTGTGTACATTTCTTCTCTAAGGAAATGGACACTGAGAATGTTTAGAACAAATTAAAGAGAATTTGAAGTGATAAGAGGAAGTGTGTTGTGTCTGAAGTAGACACAAGGAAGTTTGTAGACTGTGAAAATCCCGTATTGAGATGTCTTGGTTTATTAAGAAAAACTAAATTGACAGGAGCAGGGATTTTAACAAGCATGTTTTCCATCCCTAGTTAAGAGATTTTTGGCCACAGAAATATGGGTGTGCTCAGATGCAGAACCTGAGGATGATCTGTGGTGGCAGAGCTTTAGAAACAGAAAGACTATGGGAAACCTGGGCTGATTCTGTGTCTCTTCCGGGGCCACAGGTGGT